TTGCCGCCAGCGTTTTTCAGTTTGAGAGATTTTCCTTTTTCTTGGAGGCGGCTGGGAGGCGAGTCCTGCATCTCATGGTGAGCCTCTACGTGGACGACAGCCATTTAGATGATTTGGAGTGTGCAGGAGGGCATGGGCAAGCTCTGTGGAAAGAGTTGGCCACTGAGTGCGGCCAGTCCTTTAAAGAAGCCAAGGCTCAAGACCTCGCGCTGCAAAACGATTTTTTGGGTATTTCTCATGACACCAGCGCTGCCTTCAGTTCATGGACTGTCTCCTTTCATGCCAAGCAGAGCCTTGTGGACAAAGCTGTTGGGTTGATTCGCGCAAGGATGGCTGCAGGCCGCACGACCCCTGCGCAGGCCTCCAAGATTCGAGGCGTTTGCGGCTTCATTGCCCTCGCGCAGTGGGGGCGTGTTGGTCGTGCTCCATTTGGCCCCTTGCGCCGCAGGCAGTACAGTGACAAGCATCCGTAGGACAATTCGCGGGAGCTGTGCAGGGCGTATAATTTGCTCCTGATGCTTTTGGAGTTCCATGTGCCTAGAACAGTCAAAGTAACAGCCAGTGCGCTTGGTTTCCTGGTTGTGGCCTCGGATGCGCAAGCTGATTCAAACCCTTCGGGCGGTGTGCTGATTTACGACCCTGTGACAGGTCACAAAGTGGGGGGGCACTTGCAGTTTCAGCAGCAACTTCTGGAAGCTTGGGGGTATTCTCCTGCAGCGTTGCGGGCTGGAGCAAATCCCATAGCTTTGTGTGAGTGCTGCATGTTGCCAACTACCCCCATGAATTTTCGGAATATCTTCGCAGGAAGAGACGTTTTATGGCTGTGCGACAACACGACTGCACTCTATTCCATTGTCAAGGGCACAGCTAGGGGTCCGCAGCTGGATTGCATCGTTGCGGTGTTTCATTTTCTCTTGTATTTCCTCAACGTCCGATGCTGGCTCGAGTGGGTGGGCAGTAACAGCAATTATTCGGATGGAATCAGCAGAGAATTGACAAGGATCCTTTCAGCACAGCTCATGGCTTCGAGCTTCGGCCGATGTGGTGCCCGCAATCCTTGTGGTTCCAACCCTTGCGGGTGATGTGGAAACGTTGTCAGCAGTTTGAAGTTAGTCACGTCTGAGGAGCATGCGGCACCAGCCGAACCGTGTGGACAGTCGAGCATCGTTGGCAGAAAAGTGTGAATACATCGGAGCAGCGTTGGGTGAGTCACACTCCTGATGCTATCATGTCTGTGTTCTATTATCAGCTGCCAACTTTTGCCTTAATTCTGCCAATGCGATTCAGTACGGCTTTGTTGGCCGCAGAAAAACCAAATCTGCATGCAGTCGCTGATATGTTTATGCTTGTGCTGTCAGGCTAGGGCAGGCATGGTGCAGCACACATAAACAGGCGCGACATCAGGCACCGACGATCTTGGCTCAGGCCAAGGGAGTCGTGCCAGCAGAACTCTTTTCTCCCTCCCTGGCCCACCCTGGTTTCTGACCGCATATGGGGGGGACGGCAGCTGTGCGCCGCAGGGGGATGCTAGTACGTTGAGACTGGATAGCGCAAGGGCGCGTAGGCATGTGCATGGGGTGAGTCACACTCCTGATGCTATCATGTCTGTGTTCTATTATCAGCTGCCAACTTTTGCCTTAATTCTGCCAATGCGATTCAGTACGGCTTTGTTGGCCGCAGAAAAACCAAATCTGCATGCAGTCGCTGATATGTTTATGCCACTACCATTGGGCTGGGGTGGGGGGGTGGGTGCCGCCCGGGCATGATCATGTTGTGCAAAATGACCATTGAAAGCCTTGTCCAATATCTCGACTTGGTCATTCTCGGCACTCGCGAGCTGTTGAGCTGTTGCATGCACCGCTCTGATACGTTACAGCCAGTTGCAGCAAATAGCTGCATTGAAGCCCGCAGCCGAGCTCTTGAACCCCGAGTTCTCTAAATCTGCTCAGATCGGCTCCCAGGCTGATGTGCGAGAGTGGTGTGAGAGCACACGAGGCGGCCACAGAGGTGCGCAATCTCAGCACGCGCTTTATTTCGGAGAGTTCTCCTGAGATCAGTGTGCTTCAATTGATCCACACATTCTTTCGGTTCCGAGCCATCAGGCCGTCTGAAGAGTGCACTGCTGTGCCGTATGTGCCGTTGCAGATGTCGGTGATCAGTAGCGAACTGCATATTACTTCAGTGTCAAGATGCAACACGGATTTGGCAGCGAGAGTCAGGTTCAGGGTTTTGGGCCTGTTTAAAGTTATGATTGCTAGGTTGCCGAAATTTCGGGTAGCCCAACAAAGTGGACACACATGGGGGGCCACATCAATACTTGGGGCACTAGCTGCGGCCGAGAAACACGATTGGAAAGGCATCGCACCTATTAGCAGTCAAAAATGCTTCGGATTCATGCCGTCATCTTTGGTTCTTCTTGTGCGTTGGCGGCATGCCAGGGCTGTCGGATGTGCACGTGACCATTAGATCCACGAGGAAGAGACATGATACACTGATACACTGCGTTCCTGCCCTCAATGAAATTGCAACTTACAAGATAGGTTCTGCTTGATGACGGGCGCAAGCTCGTGCTTCAATACCGCAGGGCAGCCTGGACCTTGGACTGTTGGCAGCAGGTGATTCTTCAGTACCACTCAGTATCACTCATTAGGCAGTCCTTGCCTCTTCGCCTCAAAAGCCACTCTTGTAGCGTGAGGTCGACAGCAAGGTATGGGTCTTCGATGGGACTCCCGCAGACGAGGATGCGGGCTTTGAGCCAATCCCTGGGCATGTCTCTTCTACAAAGAGTTTTCGCAAGGGACGCACACGCGCACGCTTGCTTATGCCGATGTATGACGCTGAGCATGTCTGCACGTGTTGCGCTCCCCTTGTGTTGGTTTGTCCGCCGCCCTCAGAAGGTGAGCCAAAAACGCGAACATCGAGCCCGATTATTAGAACACACAAAGCTCGTTTGTTTTCATTCACCTGGGTTAGAGGAGCAAAGCCGCCGCGTGGCCAAAGTCTTCGAGGCTGTCGTATGCGGCACTGATTCGCACTCTGCAGCTGCGGTACGTAGCGATATTTGATGATGTTACAAAGTTAACGCCGCAGAAAGTGCTTTTTAGAGATAGGACCCCGCGCAAGATTCGAGCTGTGAGCCTTGGAGGCTGAAGTGATCCGCTGGAGAGCTCTGGCCAGGAGCTCATTGGTCCACCGGCGATGGTTTTCCACACCATCCCCAGTTGGTCTGAGCAGTTTAGACAACCAAGAGTACAACTGCAAGGCCAAGGCATATGAGCGTGGACATACCGTATGTACATATGAGAACATGAGTTTTGTGAATACATGAAGTTTACGACTCCTGAATCGTATACTGCACATTGTCTTTGACGGCTTTTGTGACATGTCAGTCCTGGAATCGGGAGCCGAAGGTTTGGACTCCTCAGGCCGCGAATTGTCTTAGGATTAGGAAAGAGCACAAGAAATATCGCAAAATTCGGAATCATGGTGGGCATAGGCACAGATCAAGACTCTGTATTCATGAGGGCTTACAAGTGCAGGTTTGAATTGTGACTCGCACCTTTAACAAATCGTGGCGTCGTTTGCAGGCCCATTTGCTCTCCATTTTGTCTTGTATTTCCTTTGAGATATTTTTAAGTTTCCCTTCTTTACATTTCAAGGAACCTATTCATAGACAATGTTCAAAGGGTTTTAAGCACGACTCAGAATTTCTCCATTTTCCGCTTTGGATGCCGGCACTCAGGCGCTGGCCACGCAACGCGCGGAGGCCCAGGCGGCCCAGGAGGCTTTGCTGGCCCAACAGAGGAAGGAGAGGGAGAAGGAGAAGGAGAAGAATGGTGGCGATGGCAAAGACACCCAGGCCAGGTGCGATTCGGGACCTTTTGCACATGCAAGTACCATTACGTGAGGGCTAGGTGGTGTGGTGCCGACTGCTTTCATTGTACCTTGTCTTGCGCTACGCTCAAGGCGGAGGAGGACCTCGAGCTTCAGATGGTCTCTTCAGACAGTGCCTCTCGGCCGTTCAGATCTTGATAGCCTGGTCTGCCCATGTCTTTGCTTCATCCTACTCATCTTACTCATCCTACGTGTCACACCCCCCCCATCCCCCTTTTGCTCGCGAAGTATCATTGTACTTGCGATCGGCCTTAGACTTGGCTTGGGTGGAAGTGCCGATGACCAGTGGCTTGCGCCCTTGGGGATTGGATGATGTTAGATGGGCTTGCGGAAGAGCATTTTGTCCTCCCTGCTTGATACACATACCTCAGCTAAACCCTAAACCCTAAGCCCTAAACCCTAAACCCTAAACCCTAAACCCTACACCCTAAACCCTAAACCCTAAACCCTAAAATACACTCTATAAATCCTAAACCCTAAACCCTTTGGAAGTGCTCCTCACAAGGACAGTGAGCCGGAAGAGCCAGCGGCCGAGTGAAGCAGAAAAGGCGCCCCCCACACAACAGAGCAAGAGCAACCCGTGGCCACCACGAATCATCATGAAGCGGCTGCTTCCGTAAATTTTGTATATCTTAAAGGTATCGGCTGGCAGCCAGACATGGTGAAATGGCCACAGCCGCTCTTTTGTTTCACATTCCAAAGGAAGACATTGCATGGAATTCGCTTCCACCAGCGGTGGTGGACGGACCATCCTAGGCCGCCGCTTTATTATCCAAAATGATGCAACATGCAGGGGCCGCAGGGGTGTTGCCTGGATTCGTGGGGAAGCAGGTACAGTACCTGAATGCGGACAATGCGAAGTAGCCTGATCTGCATCTTGTGGCTTGGTCGTGATGTAGACTTTTGTATGTAGATGCATGTAGCTTTCACAAGGGTAGGCTTTCACAAGGGTAGGTCATCGGGGGCATCTGCGTGCATCAGAATCGTCTCAGCACAATCGCAGCTTGTCATTTATCCTGCAGGCACCGGCCATACGCCGGCAAGCATCACTTCTGTCATGCTTCCAATGCCGCACATCTATTTGTGAGAAATGCATTGAAACGCAGGAACTGTCTGCTGATGCTCAGCAATCCCTCGGGACTTCGAGGATGGAGTGGAACGAGGCAGAAGCAAAATATGTCTTGAGAGTGATGAGTATAGTCATTCAAGTGATGAAAGTAAGTCAGATGCTGCACGCGAGGATGCGCAAGGACTGTTCTTTACATTGTGTGTCGGACTGCCGTTTTGCAAGTGGAAAACCCTCAAGTAGCCTGGTCCCAGTCCCGGCATTTTCCCTTTGGCCATAGGCGCGGACTGCTAAGAATTCAAGCGCTCTTGGCCTGACAGATGCGTACAGAGCTGCACGCATTCGTTGACGAGCAGCGCGTATTCTGTGGTTTCCTGGACACAGAGCAGAGGCCTGCATCTTTGGGATTAGCCAATATGTAGTCTTGCCTTCCTCCCTGACTGAAACTGCCCTTTTCCCTCACTTGCTTTCCAAACATATGCACGTGACAGGTTGTTCCTGCAGCTCTGCCGCTGCAGTTCGTTACAAATAGAACAGACTGGCTTTCCCGTCCAGCCGTGGAAGGTCTTATCATGACCTCATACGGCAAGAGGCGGGAACCCAGTTCGGGATTCCAGGTGCGTGGCTACTCATGTCGTTTCACTGGCCTGCATCGGATTTCCTATCGTACCGGCTCCCAGGGGTTACCTGACACATTGTTGACAGGAGACGCAAGGCTCCCACAAGAGTAACTCCAGAGTGGACAGCCGCTTGCAGGTAACATCTCTCTCGCGGTTGGTTGATACGAGCCTGCGCGCCCTGGGCTGTCTTGGAAACCTGGTTTCTGCCGTTTGCAGTGTACATGTTCCTTCGATTCGAGAGTGTAATTAGAGACGTTACACCTGTTGTTGGATAACTGTTGAGGCATTGATCATGGCCTCGGACCCGTGCTGGAGGGCTCGCCACCATCACCAGCACCTTTCGAAGCAATGGAGGCTCCAGCATCCCTTGTTGCGTGCCATGTTGCCGTGATACGATGCCAGGTGAGAAGCGTTCCTGCTCGCTTAAGTGCACTTTGCAGGCCGTGGGGCAGTTGGGGTCGATGGCATGCGGAGCTCCAAGGCTTGAATCTTAGCGGTGGGCTTCCAGTAATGCATATGCGCAGCAAATCGTGACAGCAAATACGGCGACAGTGGTGACGTGGTTGTGAGGAGTTCTTTCACCGATGAGCTGCGACAAAGCTGAGCAGCGCGCTTGTATACTAGATCCACTCGGTCATGTCAAACGAGGAAGCCTGCAGGAGGATGTAGCTCAGAAAGGAACAGCCTTTCCGGGGAGTTGGGGGGGGGGGGGGGGGGGGGGGGGTGAACCAACAACCGATGAGGCCTTGTAGACTACAATGTATCCACATTGTCGACCCTGAGCTGAAATGGAGAGTTGAGGGTGTTGGCGTAACAGATCTGTGTTCACCCCCACCTACCCAGTCAGTGGGACGCCACTGCGGGGATCGCCAGTGGTCACCGGCAAAAGCGCTTTGCTGCACGGATCTCGCACATTTCTGTCCATGTTGGTGTTTTGGAGAAGCTGTTGCAGCAACCTGTCCAACATGAAGGGCCTGTCCGTCAGGGTCAGGAGGATCAGATCTTTGCTGTTCTCGGATGTTCTCGATGAGAATCATGGGAGTGCCGATGCATGCCTCAGCCAGAAAAGATGTACGACTGGACCTGACAAGGCAGGCGACATGGCACAAACATGCTAGATGATGTGTACGGTGCCACTACAGCACAAAAGCTGTAATCATCACCGCAACCTAGTGCACTTTATCACATATCATGTGTCGCTGATGGACACCGTGCCCGGCAGACATCAGCCGAGTTGCGCAAGGAGCACGGTAATCAGAAGCGAGCATGCCAGGTTGTTCAGAAACAATCGTACAGAACTTGTCAGGAGCTGTCTGCGATGAAGTCCAGAAGAGAAGATGAGGACGATGAGGGGGAAGACGCCACGCAGGTGCCATGCGGAGCAAGCAGGTTGCTTGGGCTTCAGCATGTTGCTGTTGCTGATACGATAGCAGGTGAGTGCTGCGCTTTGATCGGAGCGGAGCAGTGTCCCGGGGTCACACAGTTCTTAAAGAGATCTTGTAGCGGAGACCAACGTGATGCCATTTCCGGTCGACTGACACTCGTGGAGTCGTAGAATGCCCAGCCTGCAAAAGAAATCATGTTCGTACTTTTACCATACAATTGTACGCTTATATTAGTACATCTTCATGCGATTATACCGTTTGACTGTTATGCCATTGTACTATTCGACTACTATCTACACATATATATATATAATACAACAATATTATATTTCATTATGATGCTTATTATTATTATTATTAGTATTATCATTATTATAACTATTACTATTATTATTATTATTAATTATTAATTATTGTGCAAAGCTGGCCTCCGGGTGCCTGGCATGTAAGGTTCTTATACGCTTTCAGAGCAAAGCTAGGCAAACACGCCAAAGGCACAAGCCTAAACCCTAAACCCTACAGCCTAAAGCCTCAACCTTAAACCAATCTAGGACTCATTTTGGGTGCCCGTTTTGGCGAGGCGCACGGTCCAGCCATTCCAAGCATCCCCATCATCCCCGGCGCGGAGCCTGCCATCGGCCCGCAGGCAACAGGGGGTAGTTTTGGATAGTTTTGGGCCCTCTTAGAGTATTAGGGTTTAGGGTTTAAGTAACAGGCCCCCAAACTGGGATCCTGGTACCCCTATCATAATCACTACTAAGGACTCTTAGTAGAAGGGGAAACATCCCAGAGGTGTTTAGCTAGTGGCGACCTCGGTGTCGCGGGTGACCAAACGCGTAGGCAGTGTTGGCGGTTGCAAATCTTGCAGAGTCTAAGCTTGCGTACCACCCAAAGAGCCCAACACCCCTTCATTGAGGAATATTCCTTAATTCATATTAAGGGTCCCTTTATAGTTTCAGGCATATTCCTTAGGCTCTTTGGGCATTTTGCAGCTGCTATGGAGGCGTTGAAGTCCTTGTCTGTTCCCTGTGGCTCCTGGGTGCCGTGCAGTTGGCAGAAGTCCACTGTGGTCCTCCTTTGGGGTTTGTTTACGTGTGTTCCAGGGACTAAAGGAGGGACCCTTATAAGGGACCTTATGGGTTTTTTGGGGTTTATTTGGGGGCTACTTAGGTAAAAAGGGACTATAGAAGGTATAGAAAAAAAGGGGTTATATAGGGGAATAAGATTAAGGGCCCCTTCTAGGAGTCCCTCCTTATACCCCTCAATGTGTGCGTCTCTGTGGTCCTCATTTCCGAGAAGGTGAACTCCTTGCGGCCATCCTCGGCGAGGCCCACAGCAGCTGCTGTACACACTATACGCTTGAACTGCCACTTCAGGTGACACTTGGTGATTTGGAACCTTTAGAGGTCAATTGATGTGTTCAGTGGTCTAGCCTGGGGCCTGAAATTTCCACAGCGTGAGGCGAATGCAGCATTGGCTCAAGTCCCCAGTCGTTTCAGGGTTCTCAGGAGTTCTGGGGTTCTGAGCATGTGTGAACCACCATCCTATGAGACATGCCCTTACCGTACCTGAACTACAAACCCCGTAGGCCCGCAGGCTAAAGTTGCTACGCTGGTGCTGCACGGATACTTGCATACGCAATTGTAGGACTGACAAATGAGAGCGCTGGAAGCGTGCATCGCTGCGGCATGGATAGCGGACCTGGGTAGTGCCGGTACCTACCACACGCATCTCCTCTGCTATATGCCAACACTGCTTCTCTGGAACTTTGCAAAGCAGCGCGCAGAGAAGCTTCACAGACACAAGCCGACACAAGCGCGATATCCGGTTCAACCTGGAGAATTTTCAGTCAAACAAGCTTGTCTCAGAAGCAGTTTTCTCTCCTAGTTCAAGTCGTTCGTCGGACTCAGCTTGTTCCAGCATTTCCGAGGTACCTGGATCCGGCGAGACGCCCTGGCTTGAGACGGACAGTTGCACGCCCAGATGGTACTCTTCTCAAGCTGGCATTGGTGGACAACTGCACAGGTGTAAAGGCACCTTGACTTGTTGGAGTTGGAGCATGTGTTAAGAAGATTTAAGAACTAGTGCCGCTTCTGCAGCTGAGAGTTTGTGTCGGTGCACCACTAGTTGCAGGCGGTTGCGATGGACGTCGAGGAAACGCTGATTGGAGAAGTCGATGTTTCGGACAAGGAGTCTCTACTAAGCAGTTGCACCTGCCTTTGCCTCTTCCTATGTGACTGGTGCAAGCTTCTGCTTGATGCTCGTGACTCGTGACGAAATACAAGGAAACACAAGCTAGGTTGCTCGCGACAGAGTTGGAGGCAGCGTCCCGCTGTGGCTCATTGCTGAGCCTGGTTTGTGCACGTTTGTGCCATGTTGTGCTATACATTGATAATGTGCACTGGATCTTCTACGCATGGCCCTTCCTGTCAATGCCACGTTCCAGAGGTGCACGGCCTCACGCATTGGCTCTTCCCAGATGAGGACCCTGACAAGTCCAAGTCTTTCCTGAGCAAAGCTTACGGCAGGTGTGAGGGGAGATCTTGCTTAGCAGCTCGAGCGCATCGGGGAGGGACCATAACCGAACGACTCCACGGTCCGAACGTACTGCTCTTCACAGCCCCAGGGGCCCTGAGGCCGTCAGGCATTTTTCGCCTACTTGGCAGACCACCGTAAAGCCACCCCCTTCAGGATGCTCTGGCACGCTGGCAAAGCCCCTGGAAGGGAAGAGTCCATTCCGAGACCTGCGCGCAGCCCGAGGAGCTTTGCGAATGATTGTAAGGGACCCGTTTGTGGGATAATTGGTCAATTGAGTGTTGGCTGTATAGTACTATAGAAGGACACTTTAGTTGATGAATAGCGGCCGTGGAGACCAACCGAAGCAAGAAGGCCATAAGGTAAGATGTTAAAAGGTTTTGGGCCGATTGGAGTCAGGAAGTGCCCTGTTTCAGGATACCCATCTTGCGCAAGCCTTTGCGAGCCTCTTCAGCAAGCTGCTGCCTGCAGCACGTTCCAGACAGAGACTACTACAAGTTGGAGACTTGCGCGACGCAAACGCCGAGGATCCTGCGCGCTTGTTGGAGCCTGGGCCGCTAAAAAAAGAGCTTCCGAATTTGAGCCAGGAATAATGGCAAACTCAGCAAGGTTGCCCCCAAAAACCCGAAAGTACATAGCTCACTTTGCAAACTTCTCTGCTGATCCTGTAGCAAGCTAGCAGATACAGCGGCACTCGTCAGTTCCAATTTCGCATGGTCTGTAATCTGTAATTGTATTATGTTGACATTGCACAATGCTTCCAGGGATTCGAGGCAACGTCTGAAGCCTGTATGCATCTGTCAGGTGCGTACACAGGGCCTGAATGGAATGGTGGTAGCCGGCAGCAGACCATCTGAAGCGTCGGAGAGCTGGCATGAGGGGCCACCACGCACCGTCGCGTGGTTCAGCTTGGCAGGGTCGGCAGGATTCCGTGGACATCTGAACCTGGCTCTCCGCATTCATGCGTTGTTGACATTCCATACGGCCCAGGCAGTCGACTTCTCCATGGAGGGCGGAGCTCGGCTTGTCACACAGCTCGGCGACTGGGCGAAGGTGAGGTGCGGTGTGGCATTCAGTACCAGCTCAAGCTACCATCATCAGGGTTGCGCCATCCCCAAAACAAATGTGCAAGATCAACAGCTTATCGCGCTGTCCCAGCATTGCTTCATGGCCAGGTAGATGTGCTGCGAGTGGACCAGGGCTTACCAGGTGCTTGCATGCTGTTGAGAGGTTTGCAGCTGGGACGGCAGTATTTTCAGCATGATGCTCGGGTCTGTCCGTCATTCCGGTGTTTTAGTACTCGTAGCTGGGTAGCTGATTTTTTGAATGTGTCTAAAATCACTCCCCCCCAACATCAGGCTCAATGGCGGTCTCTCGGCCAAGCTGGTTCTGAGCTTCATCAACAGCCAATTTCCACCTCCAGTGCGGTACGTGGGAATGGCCGACGAACTTCCAGAGTCACTTCATGGCTGAGCCTTGACTGACCAGTCCGCGCTGCCTTCAACTTAAAATCCAATCTTTACGTTCTTATGAGCGGCTGCCATTGAGGTTCATTGAGCTACCTACAGGACGTTCTGAAGAAAGAGGGGTTTCGACTCCATCTGCTTTCGGGACCTTATGCGGCTTTTGTGCATGACGATCTCTTGGAGGGCGATGAACTTCATGGGCTTGACGTCGATGAGTTCGTACCTGGCTTGCAGAACAGTTTTTGTGCTGAAAGGTGCGTTGGGCGACTTGTTCTGTGCTAGTGCGCCGGCTTCACTTCATGCTGTAGGAATGCTATCGGTCCAGCCGCATTTGGGGCTTCGAGCCTGACATCCCAATAGATGTCGTGCGAGACTGGTTCTTCGGCGTGGCAGATTCGCCTGTTGCGTCACAGGATGCAGCGCTCAACATAGGGAATCCATTCTCTCGCCGGGTGTGGTTGCAGCATCGTAGCTTACTTTGACATGCCTGGAGGAGATCCTCAGGCGAAGCTTTGGGAACGTCTCGCAGCTAGTCGCCCACCTACCGAAGGAGAAGCGGCCAGGGTTCCTTCTCTACCTTTAGCTGCGGCACAGCTCAAATGTCCCAAGGCTGCAGAGACTCAGGATCGGGCGTTCCGGGATGCAATCATTTATACATTTGTTTGGAGATTGCTTTGTAAGCAGCCGAAAGCTTGGATGGTTGCTATTAAGGAGGCCCATGAATCTGTGTTTCAGGCAATGTGCGCAGTGCGCACATGGGTCTGTCTGTGTGGGTGAAGGTCGTTTGCTGACCAGACTTGTTGATGAGGCACAGCATGCTGCCTGCTCCGGACACCAGCGTCGTTGACAATTCGGTTTTACCTTGCTCGCGTCCCTCTGACACTCCGACAGCTCGAAACAGCTAAACGGAGAATTTGTCAGCGCCTTCGTGCTCCCTCGGTCTTGGCAGTAGAAGGCACGGGGTTTGCAGAGTTATCGGCCGGCATCGAGGGGCTGCCCTCCAGGTCAAGATGCGTATATTTGAGCTATTGAAGCTATTGGGCAGCAGGAAAAAAGTATTCTCAGCAGGTCACACAGGTTTCTGAAGCCGAAGCATAGTCACAGAGCAGAGCGCTTCTATCATTTACGCATTGTCACGTGGGACAGGTATTCCTTTGGAAAGGCACGACACCAGGAGGCCCCGAGCGGAGAGGCACGGATGTATGCGCGCCCCTTTGCGCGAGCATTCGTGATTAGCTGCTGTGCAGAAGAAGTGAGTCCAGGCGGCCAAGTGAGTAGGACGAGACTCAAGACTACAGCCCCGGCTAGGGGGCATGGTCTTGCACAGGGCATGCCCGGCCCTGGCTACTACAGCACGGACTACGCCAACGCGCTGGTCTGCTGTAGCCTCAGCAGAGCCAGCCATCAAAGTCATCAAAGCCTTCAAATCTCGGCAGGGGCTCCAGCCAAGGTGCCTCGGCAGCTAGCATGGGGACTGGTGCAGCCCGGTCGCACTGCAGCGACACGTTGGGGGCTGAGGAGATCCCTGTGCAGTTCCCGCGAATAACAGCTTGATTCGATGTCAGTTTGCCAGTGGGGTTGGCCTTTGAGGCGTCGGTCCCTGAAGAAGGGGATGAGTGCTTGAAGCCGAGATTTTTCTGCGGTCTGTCACGTGGCAACAGTACAGTAGGGCAGTTGTTGGAAAGGCGCTGTTTGCTTGGACAGTCTCTGGCTCACACATGCATGTTGTTGCAGCTGGAGGGCGGAGAAACAGCTGTGCTAGAATTTCTAGAAAGGATTAAGAACAAGACGTCCATTCCCAAGCGTGCTTGCTGCAATGCTCTGCAGACAGCATTCATCTGGCAGCTTGCTGCAGGGAAGGTGTTTCACCATACATACAGTAGGGCGTCGAAAAGTCCCGACCTTTAGATACCCCTGCAAGATACAGGCTAAGAGACAACTGACAACAGATCTGCCCAGGATCCAAGCGCTCACCTTCACGTGATGGAAGCCTGGGTCACCTCGCCGATATCTCAGCTAGCTACCAGTAGTAGAGCGCATAGCCGCGAAAACTAGTGTTTCGGACATTCGGAAGGCTGACAACAGGATGCGTGCTGTGGCCGAAGTTTCCACTTATAAATCTGTGTTCTTGCACACTACATCCGTACACATCCACGGTTGAGAGTACCGACCCAGCAAGGTTGAGGGCTGAGGGCTTGCGATTTTGTTCCGCTCCATACATCTACCTCGTCCCTCGAAATCATTCGAAATCCCTGAGCAGTGCCTTAAAGCTCCTTCCAGCCCTGGCCCTCAGGACAGCAGCGGGTCCCAGCCCTCGGATCGGCTTCGGGACCGAGACGCGAGATGCACAGGCAAGGGACATAGCAGTACATGTCGGGGCTGCTTCCGATGTCTCGTAGGTCTCCGACCTAGAGCTCTTGCGCGCATGTCCTGAGTCGAGGCAGCTCGTGATGCTTTTTGAGGGGCCTTGAGATGTGTTGCTTGCAAGCGTTCGAGATGGTTTGATTAGAGATGGGTGGCTGAATGGACAGCTAGATTAGCAGACAGCTACAGGACATCTGCACAGATCTGTAAAATGGAGACACATGGGCAAGACAAAGACAGTGAGCCTTGCCTTATTTGCGAGACTGTCGGCTCTGGTCAGTCATTGGTGTAGTCCCACTTTGATCAGTTCGATCAGTGCTCGATCCAAGTCCTGATGCCCTCGAGGGTAAGGGTCGGGATGTCCAGGTACGGCTCAGGGCCCGGCTTGGTATACGATCCAGACTACAGGAGCTGCGGACTGTTGAATCAGACTTTTCAACTTTTCACGCACTCTGCAATGACCTGCATAGTCTGAGGAATTAAGAGTTAGGGCGAACGTGCATGCACACGGTTGCAGATTTTTGCTGAGGCAACCTTGCCGGGAAGCACACGTATGTTGCGGGTGGCAGGAGAGTGCGTCCACAGTCAGCTGGTCGAGCTTTCCCTCGTGCAAAGTCTGGAGTTTCTTGGCCTGTGACTTTGGGATCCTTCAGGTTTGCAGTTCGCAAACCTACTTGCAGCTGCACATCCCCTAGGATGACCGTAGCATGACTGACAAGATGCAAGCAAACCTGCTTTCTACTAGCAGAGTTCTTTCAGAGCCCTTCAATGGGCTCGCTACTTTCCCAAGCACCTCAAAAGCAGAGCAAAAAGACTCACCACTCACCAGTCTTCGTGATCTGATTTCGCTCGACTTGCCAGGGCCTGATGAGCAGCGTGGGAGGCACCTCTGACCAAGTCGCTCCTTCTTCGTACCAGCACCACGACCAGGACGGAGCCGATAGATTCATAGACCATCCGATATCTTTACCCGCAGATGCATGATTGTCTTGATTGCCCCGTGTCCTTGCATCTTTTGGGCATGTCGATGTGTGAACAGGAGCCAGACTGTGCTGATCGAAACATGTGTCTGGACACATTCCGCAAAGTAAGGTACGAGAAGGATCTTCGCCAAGCAATAACAACTACATAAGGACAAGAAGACCAGACAGAGCCTCCCTCGTCAGCATAGAGCCCCCTTCCAAAGATGGAGACCCTTGCATCTGTGGGGCGGGTTGAATGATACACCAAGCCCAGGATTCGCACAGCAATCTCACTTAGGGCTACCCCTCGACATGCTTCTGCAAGAAGAGGGCGTCTCTTACCCTCACCCCACAAACTGCGAGATTTTGGTTAGTTTTATCTGAATATTATGAGCGCATAGCAGGCATAGCAGCAGGGACATGCCTTGTCACATGTGGCAGCTTGAAGCCACCTCCAGACTTCTAAATTGCCGAAAGATGAGCAATGGCTAAATAGCATGGACCATGCAGATCTGGGACTCTCGTGTGAATGTGCAAGCTCCCCAGCGTGCAGGGATGTCTTGTGTCGCCTAGAGGTAGACTAGTATTCTGGTGTTCGTCTGGACTTTGCTTGACTTCAGGAGTCGATCTCCGGCAAGCAGTTGGATTCCCGGAAGAGGACCCGAAAGCTTGCAATGGATGAGTCAAATACTTGGCTGGCTCAGATGCAGTGAGGAAAGAGGTGCTGAGACGTTGTGATCTTTCTGTGACCGCTGCAGGCATGTTGTGTACAGCTTTCTTGTTTTCTAAGTTTGATTTGTCGTCCAGGACAGGCCCAGCTTTCTCTTTCAGCCGAGCTTCTCGCTTCACGGTGCATCCCTCGTCCTCCGCAATTGGATTGTGTACAGCACACACATGCACACACACCATTCTCGTGTTGTGTGCCGCGCACTGAAGCTAGCTGGGCGGCAAAGGTGTCTGAAGGTCATTGCATGTGGCGACGCAAACCGCAAGAAGATGCAGCACACAATGGGCGTCATGTGGCATCCAACGGCACACTCTGTGGTTCGTACTGGTTTGTGAATGTTAGTGTGGCCGTGGTGTGCTGTTCAACTCGCCTGCATGTGCCAGCTTTTGGCCCAAGGAGGGCATCAACTAGGAAGTGACGTCAGCCTTATGCTACGACATAGAACATGGCATGGCTTCAGCTCGCCCAAATCCAAGAGCATCCAACAGCACTCTCAAAGCATTCTTGCTGCAAGGAATCATTCAGTTCACCTGGGGACAGCAGAGCAGGGGGCGAAAATACAAAGACACGACGAAACAGATGTATCAGACTTCAGCCAGACAGCTGCCACAGCTACGCCTGATCAGACCATGTCTGCGCACTGCACCCAGCCATTGCGCTGCCGTGGAACTTGATGCAGGCTTGGAAGCAGAATCGTCACGCCGAGGTGTGTGGACAAAGGACATCCATCACCCAAGCAAAGATCGAAGCCTAAAAGGACCAGACCACATCTTCACCGTCCCCATGTTGAGTACGCTGAGCTTTGCGAGCAATCGAGCAACGTCTTCTGCACCGAAGTGAAAGCTCGTGAATGGGAAACCCCCCTCCATGTCCTCAGAGTTCACAAATCCTGACCTCATTGCGTGCAACAGCTGGGCCTACAAGCCCGAAGCCGCGTTCCCCCAGCCTATTTGTTGTTTTCGGTTGGCGGGACGGTTTAATCTGAAGGGCTGTGGCCTGTTCAAGGTTAGGAGTTACGATTTTGCACTCCTTTCGTTGAGGCCTCTTGTAAGATCATGTGAGGAAGACTTCATAAGGTACCACGAGGCAGTAGTTACACCACGGTTGTTATGGGTCTCCGCCTGCTTTGGTAGGCAGCGCCACCCAAGCCCTGGGAAAGGAACGGCAGGCCGGACTTGTTGGACAGCTGACAAAGCTCAAGGGCCGGGAAACCGAATGTAGAGTTAATAGTAAACAAGATATAGCATGCTGGCAATATCATATACTACACTTGTTAATGCAAATCTGTATTATGCAAATTGTAACATATATTATCTGGCATCTATTATATCTCATCTAATTTCTAATATCTAACATTCAATATCTAATTTCTGTCTAATTCCTAATATCTATACATCTAATATCCAATGTCCAATACTGTGGAAGTCCTGTTGCAGGCGCCTTGTGTCTTCTACCTCCCCTCCGGTGGCTGCGTCCAGCCACACCCTTGGCACGCCTCCGCGAAGTTTGCACCATGATCCGCCCAGCACGCCGGCCATTCCTGAGTTCTTAGGGGTTAGGGGTTAGGGTTTAGGGCTTAGGGTTTAGGGTTTAGGGTTTACTAAAGGCAAGATTGGGGGGCAATGCGCTTTCGATGGTACTGCTCAAGAACTGGTGCAAAAGGGTTGGACAGCCTTTTTGCACCGGTAGGCTTGCGATAATCGCCCGGTTAGAGGCCGATCTGTACTTGCACAAAATGGCTCCGAATCACTCGCCTACACGGCTATGAAGCTCAGCAATGAAAGGGAATGTGCGTGTGGCTGTGGCCGTACACAGTGCCATCGACCCTGGACCCCCTCCGGAATGTTTCGCACCACGTCTTTCAGGTACTTTCGGGGGAGCAATTGTTTTGATGTCAGTTGATTTCGGGTTTGCTCCGGGATAGATGTCGACCTCCTCGCGGACGAGTCGGAATAGCGCACTGAGCCTTGGGATAGATGGAGGGGCCTGGATAGAATTTCGTGTGCTGTTGCTGTCTGGGCTTACAGGGCAACAAGACAGCAACATAAGCACACTGTACATTCATTCACCTTTCTCTTTTGTTTGTTTCTTGACTTCGTCCGTGTAGCTGCGCCCCACTTGTACAGTTTTGCCCCCGTGGATAGTGTCCCTGTACGTGGTGGATCCGCTTAGCCAACTCGCAGCCGGAGGCCAGAGGAGCTAAAACGATCGGGCGTCGACGAGGGATAGATCCTTTTCCCTAACCCTTGGGATAGTTATCTGTTCTCTTTACAACTCATAGCCGGAGGCCGGAGGATACTGAGGATAGGTGGCTGTCCAGGTGAATATTGGGATAGGTGTACAACACGCAGCCGGACGGCTAGTGGATACATCTTGAACGATAGGTTACCACCCCCTGGAGATAGCAACTTTGGGGATCCTTCCGATAGTTAACGTCGGGAGTGGCTTGGAATACTTGGCTAGCTACCTCGTGTTCCCCGTTGACAGGGATACTGTTACTTCTGGAGCAACTTAACACCTCACAACTGTAAATAACCAACTTCCTTGTCTACTTGGGTCTGATCAACCGGAATAGTGGACACAGTTTTTCAGTTCTTCGACGCGCAAGTTTTCCTTGATTTGGACACTTCGCACAGGTTAAGAGCCTTGTAGTTTCTGTACCGACTGAGCCGAAGGCGAGGCGAGGATAGTTCAACGTCATGACGGACATGTGGAACGACGAGCGGGCACGAGAGGGATATATGGATTTGGGTCGGGATAGACATGTGGGGAGTGGACGCACCCCCGCAGGAATAGGGAACAGAATGTACGATGGGTGCGCTGGAGATGGAGATGGACTTGGGAAGAATACGAGCGGGGACGACAAAGCATTTGACTTGTCAGGCATTGGGGATAGTCAGGAACGAGGAGGACCATGGGATCTGAGCCTTTCAGATGGAACGACTCCTAGGGCGGATGATGGGATGTCAGGGCCTTCGAGTGTTTTTGGCGGGGTTGTCGAGGAAGATATGTTAGCCGGAGACGGCTGCCTGGAGGAATCGCACCATGGACGGAGCGACTTGGGATATGCTCGGAGATCGGATGATGTTGGGATAGCAAACAATGGAGTTGATAGATGGGATCCTTTTGGTCCTGATGGAGACGGCGGAGATCGGGATACTCTTGGGATAGGTGCGCGAGTTCATGGGGATAGTTGCGCCGATCGATGGGTGAAGGATCCTCAAGGTCTTGATGGACACGATGCGCGAGTTCATGGGGATATTCGTAGAAGTGATGCGGCGGCGGAGCTGGGAGATATGCGAGATGAACGCGTTGAAAGGATCATGAGGGTGGGGATAGACTCGGAACAACATGGCCCAAAAATCCCTGGAGAGCCCAGAGAGGTCTCGGGACGACCTGGCTCAAACTTCCCTCAAGAGTCCAGAGAGGTCTCGGGACGACCTGGCCCAAAATTCCCTCAAGAGCCCAGAGAGGTCTCGGGACGACCTGGCTCAAACTTCCCTCAAGAGTCCAGAGAGGTCTCGGGACGACCTGGCCCAAAAATCCCTGGAAAGACCAGAGAGGTCTCGGGACGACCTGGCCCAAAAATCACTGGAGAGCTCAGAAAGGTCTCGGGACGACTTGACGGGCCGAAGAAGAAGGAGCAGACCATCGCTAATGTGGACGAGTGGGGCAATGATCGAAGTGGTGGCGATGGGATAGGGCTGGGGAGTATGGGTGGCGCAAAGGGGATAGAGCTCGGAGCAAGGAACGCAGGATTGAGCATTGGGTGGAATAGCATCGACCACAGCAGTGACGTGATGTTGGCATTTCTTGAGGGTCGAAGAGTGGAACAACGCCAGGGGACAGGGAATAGGACGAAACATTCGGCCGGTCCAGAAGGTGGTGCAGTCGACGTTGGGATAGTGTTGGATAGACTGAATGGGAACGCGCCGCTAAATGGGAGAATAGGAGACATCAGCCAAGGATCTTCGGACATAGCAAGGTCACCAAAGATTGATGCTGGGACGAGGGCCAAGAAGATGGAATATACGATAAGTACCCCTCCCCCGCAACCCCCGAACGGGATATCACATGATGCCGCCGCAAGGGGAAATGGAATATCGGAATATGAAGGGTGTGAGGGCAGAGTTGATGCGATAGAAGGAGTGACTATAGACATCAGGAACGCGACCACGGAGATGAATGACGAGATACGGGATGGGCTCAGGAGGATCCACGATAGACTGGATGAGGTTGAAGAGAAGTCCATAACCCAACGTGCCGAGATGATTGATGTCGAACGCAATGTGCAACGGCATTGAATGATAGCATTCGGGATCTACGGAGCTGGATTAGAGAGGAGTTGACAAAGGCTGTGGAACCATTGGGCCGCGAGCGCGGAGAGGCGAGCGAAAGCGCCAATCATGTTGAGCGGGACGAGTTTAAAGAGATAGCGAAAAGCGTTGACAGGATGAGTTCTCTTGTGAGGTTTGTCGCGGGCGAACTCAAGCAAATGAAAGGGACGATGGATGTATCGATGTCGAAGAACATCGCGGAGCCTCTGCAACAGATTCGTGAGAGTATCAATGGGATGACGAGTGATATAGGCACCGTGAAGGGGAGAGTTGATGCCACGGAAAAGCTGATTGAGAAGATGGGCAAGGAATATGCGGAAATCATGGACGAGAACAAGCAGCTGAGGGATAGATTACGCGTGGTAGAATACAGTAGTCGGGACCGCGGGAATATCGCGAGGAGCACTGATAGAACTGACAACAATTGCGCTGACGATGGGGCGCGGAGCGCATGTGTCAGGATCGCTGGGAGGATTGATGGAATAGAGGCAAATGTCGCGGAGATGGCCAAGATGCTTCGGCGTGTGCGGGATCAGCAGGCGAAGGACGCAAAAACATTCGTTGCATCCGTGAGGATCAAAGAGTTGGAAGTCATGGTTCAGGAGATGCGTGAATCGATAGCGAAGATGCAAAACGAGAATGCGGCGGACAAGGGCGAATGGAGGGAGTATAAAACCCAAACGCAGAGAAGAATCGAACAGCTCGAGAACGAGAACGCGCGGCTCAGGACCATGCAGGAGACGCAGGAGGGTCTCATCACGGAGCTCACTGAACGGATAGATGCGGCAACAAAACGGAACAACATCGAGGCGGAGATGAGCGCAATGCGATATAGAGTAGCTGAAGTGGAAAAGACGTGCGAAGAGCAGCGTAGAATGCGTCAGGCACTACAGTGTGGAGACGGTCATGGTGGCGTTGATCCTGAGTTGAGGCGACGGGAGTATCTAGGGATAGTATACCAGTGCTTTGATATGATCCTTCCTGAGGAGCCCAATCCGGCGAATCTACACACGTGGCTTGGGGAAGTGGCCCGGGCGGTGAAAAGCGCGTACATTTACGACGGGGAGTACGGATACTCCACGATTCTGCATGTTAGGGGTATGAGTGAAAGCGAATTGGATAGACCATTGAAGTATGCGGCTTTGGAAAACAAGCTATGGGAAGGGCTGCGGAATATGATCAAATCAACGAGTCTGGCCAGTAAAGTGCAGGGGGAGATGTTCAAGCGAACGGTTGGGCGAGAGACAATGTCGGCTATGAGGCTACTAAGCATGGTGGTGAGATTTTACAGCGTTTCTCCCAATAGGGAGCAGGAGGTGTTGAACGAGGCCTTGTCTTGTACTGCGTGTGAGAAATACTCAGGTCAATGCGAGGTGGATAGTCTGGACGTTTTCATGGACAAATGGGATAGTGTGCGCGTGCGGGTTGAAGCGACGGGGCGAGGCACATGGTCCGATGAGCAACTGGGGGATATCCTGCATAGTAAGGTGCGGCACCTTTCGTTCTTGAACCATGACATCGAGGCCTGGAGGAAGAGACCGGCAGAGGGTAAAACACACTCTTGGTTATATGATAGAATCAAGAAAAGAATAGAGGAGTGGAGGGCGGACCAAAACTACCAGTACATGGAAGATTGGGCACAGCATCTCTCTGCCAGGGGCGGGCCGCAACCCTGAGGCTACCCGGGAATATGCCGTGTCCGCTAGGAACATAGACTACACAGATGTCAGAGAACGCTGCGCCGCGAACAGGGATAGGGAACGTTTTTACCCTAATCCAGAGGGCGACCTCATTGCAGCGCTCGTCCCGCCCAGAGATCAGCAAACAATTGATTCCACTGAGGACTTCGTCACGCAGCTCGCCCAACTCGAACGGGGGGTGTCTTGGGATAGGGATTCGAGCAGGGCTTCGCTGAGGAGTACGTCCTTGCGGGGGGGTATCCCAAAACTCGGGATAGGGGTTCGAGCGGGATTTCGAGGAGGATTATATCCCATGCTGCGGATGAGTGTCGCAAAACTCCGAACCACAAGAGGGGTTATAACCAACATCGACGACAACTATCAGATCCCAGTCTCTGGAGACCAGTGAACAACGAGAGAGAAATCGTCGACGGAATGAAGGCGCGAGCTGGATCAAGATTCAGGCCCAGAATGTTCCGGGGAATGCAGGCGGACGTGGCGAACGGCGCATTGATGTTTGAGAACGGGGAGACGCGGAAGCCCGGTCAGTACGCTTGGTGGTGGCTTGAAGCTCGCACGGGAATAGGATGATTACAGACAAGGGATGCAACTGAGGCGTCGGGAACCTTCGACGTCTCTGGGATGCCGGTGGATAGTTTCGGAATACATCTGGATGGCCGGAATAGTCAATTTACAGGCCTGGGACACATCTGGGAGAAGCCTAGACACTTCTGCGATAAGCCTGGATCGCCCGAAGATATGACCGGACGGACTCGAGGTACTCTGAGTCGTTTTGGCGATCGGACGGGATAGAGTGAAAGTGAAGCCTGAGCGGACGGGATAGATTCAGGTCTTGCTTATTGGGGGGTTAGCTCGATAGAGTGGAAGCGAAGCATGAGCGAACGGGATAGATTCAGGTCCTGCTTATTGGGGGGTTTGCCCGGGACACGGGGGGGAGATACATAGGATTCGAACAGATGAGATGCTCATGATGAAGATGATGACGCGTGTGTGGCAGTGGCGTGGAATGAGCGGTCTGGCAAATTACGAGCCTAATGTTTGCTTTGATTATCAGGGAGGTTGGCCCCGGACGCGGTTCTGCACATTGACACATCGGCAGGCACATTGTGATGTACACGTGCTCGGGTGGCCAAGGGAGATGGGGGCTTGGATAGTGAATGGCATATCGAAACGAGCGGACGGATGACAAGGACAAGATGGCGAAGATAGAAGAGTGGCGATATCATCAAGTCTTGCTTGCAGGGGGATAGTGCGGGCTCCTCATGTACGATTTGTGGCGGAATTTGCATGTCGGGAGTATATGTGCAAGGAAAATGTGTGATTGCCATAGAGTCAAGATTTGGGAGCAAGGGAAATCCATCGAGTCAGGATGTGGCAGCAAGGGAAATCCATCGAGTCAGGATGTGGCAGCAAGGGAAATCCATCGAGTCAGGATTTGGGAGCAAGGGATATCCATCGAGTCAAAGTTTGGCAGCAGGGATTGCCGTCGAGTCAAGGTTTGGGATCAAGGAGAGTTCCATCGAGTCAAGCGTGTGCAGCAGGGATAGCCAGATTGATTCTGGGATATTTTGGATTTGCCACGCAGGCGTCAGGGAATAGAATAGCCAAGGCGGGAATACACCTATGACATTCCATCGCTTTCACGCAGGAGCTGTTGGAGGGCGGATACGGCGTCGCAAAGGGGAGGGATAGTGGTGATAGCCATCGTCGACTTGATGACTGTGCGCCGGGGCTATATCAGTTGGAGTGTCATAGCGGGCCGCTGCCTGCCCAACACGAAGCAGCCGGAACATCAACAGCTACCAGGAAAAGTCATCGAGTTGCAGAAAGGCACGCGGGGGGCTTTGCTACCCGACGCTTCTCATGGATCTGAAGGGAATACGGAGCGGAGATCTTCGCTGGCCGGATCCAGCAAGCAAGCAGGGAGTGCAGGGCGGAGGGCTTCTCTGCCTGCAGGGAATACGGAGTGGAGATCTTCGCTGGCCGGATCCTGCAAGCACGCAGGGAGTGCAGGGTGGAGGGCTTCTCTGTCTGCAGGGATACGATCTGGAGATATTTGCTGCCCGGATCCTTCAAGCAGGAACTGCAGAGTGGAGGGCCTGTGATACCTGCAGGGAATACAGAGTGGAGATCTTTGCTGCTCAAACCTTCCCGAAGGAATAGAAGTACCAGCGCTTCACGTCCATTACTTCACTGTTTTGGTCCCGAAGGGATACAGATAGCGGAGCTTCACGTCCCTTACTTCACTGTTTTGGTCCCGAAGGGACACAGATAGCGGAGCTTCACGTCCCTTACTTCACTGTTTTGGGTCCCGAAGGGATACAGATAGCGGAGCTTCACGTCCCTTACTTCACTGTTTTGGTCCCGAAGGGATACAGATAGCGGAGCTTCACGTCCCTTACTTCACTGTTTTGGTCCCGAAGGGACACAGATAGCGGAGCTTCACGTCCCTTACTTCACTGTTTTGGGTCCCGAAGGGATACAGATAGCGGAGCTTCACGTCCCTTACTTCACTGTTTTGGTCCCGAAGGGATACAGATAGCGGAGCTTCACGTCCCTTACTTCACTGTTTTGGTCCCGAAGGGATACAGATAGCGGAGCTTCACGTCCCTTACTTCACTGTTTCGACCCCGAGGGATACAGGCATCGGAGCTTCGCGTCCTCTACTTCACTGTTCTGGCCCGGGATGGGATACAAGGCGTACTAAATACACCGTTGCCGGTCTTGACGTTTGGCGCCCAGCAGTCGGACCTCGTCTCAGAAAGGCAAAGGGAGTATGGTGCATGGTGAGCTTCGCGGACGGCAACCTCAAGGGGATATTTCGCAGCGTTGTGAGCATGAGGAACACGTATAGGGGATAGGCCCGACTCTTCCGGAATAGGGATAGGACTACGACGTATTGTTAATCTTGTACATCTTAATGCAGTACGCCTGGGATAGAAAGGACATAGGTGTGGTTTTGTTGGTCGACATCCGGGGGGCGGAGGGATATGTGTGACGTTGTGTATGTCCACGCGGTGCCCGCAAGCCGGGGGGAGCTTTCTATGAGTTTGAGTTCGTCTACGGATAGTTCGCTCGTATAGAAGCGGGATAGTTACGATATCTAGGAAAATGTATGCGTCAACGCAAAGACCACCGGCACAGGGGGGAAAGGACAACTATGACATTGTCTATGTCACCACGGTATCTGCGAGCCGGGGGGAGTGGATAGAAATGCGTAGTACTACATGGAGATTACGACACGAGTGAAGGGATTACACGTCGAGGCTGAATACGGTGCGCGGGGGGGAGTACATGTTACTATGCATGTGAACCGGAAGCTGGCAAAGGAAAATGCTGACGAACATCTACGTGACGACCGGTGGCCGGGGGGATAGAGGGAAGGATTAGCCGTGAGCCTGCCTGCCAATGCATGATGATCAACGTTCCGGACGGGAGGCTGTTCGATGTCTACGAACATAACAACGCAGTGTATGGCAAATCTGCAGAATGCGGAGACAATGTTGCTGCGAGACGGAGCGTGCACGGCAGCGGAGGCATGGCTGATCACCAATAAGTCCTCGCGGCCAGAGCGGCGACTATCAGTGGGAGTAGGTGCCCGCCGTTGCGACGCACTTGGACGAGAGAAACCACGACGAGAAGAAGGAAGACGCCTGCCACCATTAACGGCGTCACGTCTGCTGATGTGCGTGGGATGGCTCCTCACGTCGTTGGACGAGGTGGCGTGGCAAGGGATAGATCTGCAGGGCGCATGCAAAGTCATGCCCCTAGCGCATGGAGTGATGCAGCGGTTAGGATTGCCATGGCCCGCTGTCCTCCGCGGCTCTGAGTCGTGGGGTGAGCCAAGCCTGGGATAGGACTTTCCGGATAGGGGATATATTCGTCGAGGACATGTACGTAAAGAAGGCGCTGGGTGAGATGAGTGGGAGCGACGCAGCTACTGCTTCAACTGCGAGCAGCTGGCCTTATGGGCGTTCCCTGACGGGCGCAGACCAACCAATGACGAAGGTTACTGCTTGTGAGTGGAGGGGCGTGGCTGATCACCAGTAAGTCCTCTCGGCCCTCGTCAGACAGCTTCTGTGGGCATGGCTGGCCACCATTAAGTCCCTCCTGCAAAAGAAAGGGCTACATCGTCTAGGAGGGGTACTGAACCAAGTGAAAGGGCCGATGTTGCAAGGGATAGTGCCTGGACGAGATGAACTGAGTTTCGGCGTAAGGGGATAGAAGATGAGTGACCAATTTTCCAATGATGCGGATTAGCAAACATCTTGGGTGCATGTATTAGGGCACCGTCGAAGACGTGTGTGCTCAGACGATGATTCGAAGGTTTGCGGATGACGGTGTTGCTTCCGAGGGTCGCCGATGTGGTCTTCGTAATCGCGGGTGGTGGTGGGCGCCTCAAAGGGGCTGGAGACCGTGCTGGCGATCCCTCCTGCGTTTGTGTTGAAGGTCTGATGCAAACCGGACGAGGATTCGCGAATTCATCGTTTATGCTGGGAGACGTCACTCTGCGAGCTGACGCCCCCATCACGGGGGGTGTTTCGCACCACGTCTTTCAGGTACTTTCGGGGGAGCAATTGTTTTGATGTCAGTTGATTTCGGGTTTGCTCCGGGATAGATGTCGACCTCCTCGCGGACGAGCCGGAATAGCGCACTGAGCCTTGGGATAGATGGAGGGGCCTGGATAGAATTTCGTGTGCTGTTGCTGTCTGGGCTTACAGGGCAACAAGACAGCAACATAAGCACACTGTACATTCATTCACCTTTCTCTTTTGTTTGTTTCTTGACTTCGTCCGTGTAGCTGCGCCCCACTTGTACAGTTTTGCCCCCGTGGATAGTGTCCCTGTACGTGGTGGATCCGCTTAGCCAACTCGCAGCCGGAGGCCAGAGGAGCTAAAACGATCGGGCGTCGACGAGGGATAGATCCTTTTCCCTAACCCTTGGGATAGTTATCTGTTCTCTTTACAACTCATAGCCGGAGGCCGGAGGATACTGAGGATAGGTGGCTGTCCAGGTGAATATTGGGATAGGTGTACAACACGCAGCCGGACGGCTAGTGGATACATCTTGAACGATAGGTTACCACCCCCTGGAGATAGCAACTTTGGGGATCCTTCCGATAGTTAACGTCGGGAGTGGCTTGGAATACTTGGCTAGCTACCTCGTGTTCCCCGTTGACAGGGATACTGTTACTTCTGGAGCAACTTAACACCTCACAACTGTAAATAACCAACTTCCTTGTCTACTTGGGTCTGATCAACCGGAATAGTGGACACAGTTTTTCAGTTCTTCGACGCGCAAGTTTTCCTTGATTTGGACACTTCGCACACGGAATGAACTCACAATGTGGGGGTGATACGCATTACCGAAGGCTCGGGACTTGGGAGGCTCCTCCATACCGCAACAACTACAAAGTTTTGCATTTCCTTGCCTTGGGCATGTTAGCATTGTGGTCGCGAAGGCTGATGTTTTCGATATTTGTCAGTGGAGATCAAGACCAGGAGAAGAGATTCCCAAGTACAGGTTTTATTCCCACAGGCAGTATGTTGGACCACCTTGGTCTTGACCAC